TAAAAGGTTTTTTAGGAAAATTTGGTATTCTAACATATAAATTATTTTGATAACTTGTTTCGATATCTTTTAAATACATTTAGTTTTATTACTTATCAGTAATATTTTCTGCATTATTTATAAATACTTAACTTTAAATTTATGCTATTAAATATATTTTTTTTCTTTCAGTTCTTGTTTTTAACCAAAATCCTACTATATAAAACATAGTAGAATTATAAATAAGTAGTTCTCTTGAAAATATCATGTTCGAGGTAAAATATATCGAAATGGCAAAACTTTTCATCATTTTATTATTTTATAAAGTTGAACATGGAACACATTTAATATAACTAGATCTTGATCAGTAATATAAAATATTATGATATCTTTTAAATAGATTAAGTTTTATTATTTATCAGTTATATTTTCTGCATTATTTATAATTAGTTAACTTTATATTTATGCTATTACAAATTTCTTATTTTTTCTCATTTCTTGTTTTTAACCAAAATCCTACTATAGAAAACATAGTAGAATTATAAATAAGTAGTTCTCTTGAAAATGTCATGTTAGAGATAAGATATATCGAAATGGCAAAAAATTTCATCATTTTATTATTTTATAAAGTTGCACATGGAACACAGTTAATATAAGAAGTAGAGCTTTATATGTGTGTCCACGCCGATATTAGTTCTTACATTTTTATATATTTATATTTATTTTTCCATAATTAATGTTATATATTTTAGATGTGTTATCATATAATTAATTGTATTTAAAAGATCCAATCCGAATCTGATAATATGATTATTTTTTGTAAAAATATCCAAACTCATTTCAGATATATTGGTTATTTGGATATTTTTAGGTTTCCTATATATCAAAATCGAATTCATCCAGGTCGGAGAGGACCCAACTCGAAACTCACACATAAATTATAATATCTAAGCGGGTCTAATTTCGAAACCAAAAAATGATATCCAAAATGAACAGTCATACATGAATAAGTACCCAATGTTCATGCCTGGCTGATTGTGTAAACTAATAAAATGACTATTTTATGTGTTTGGCTAAATTAAATTAAATAGATAGAATTTTTTTTTATTTAGTAAAATAATTCTATGGAGGGAAAAATTAAGTGATAATAAATTTAATAATTTTTATTATTTTGATTTAAGTTCTTTTATTCAAATAAACATATATTTGAATTATGTGTTTGGGTACATAGTTTTCACTAACTAAAACTAAAAAAAAAAAAAAGTTTTAGTAAAACAAACTAAACCATAGACAAAGTCCAGTTATTTAAAAAAAATTATAATTGATATAAAGTTAATGTTGAATAACTATAATTAAAATGGTATGCATTATTAAAATAATTATTATTATAATATAATTAATGATGTGATGTATTGTTAAGATAATATAATTAGTGAAATTGTTAAAATGAGTAAAAATATGGAAAGACCATTGATGTAATTAGGTCTAGGCGTTTCGGGTATCAGTTCGGTTCGATTCGGGTATTTCGGGTTTCGGGCTTCGGGTAGTTCGGATAGAGAGTTAGAGGATCCATTTACTACTTGACCTACTTTCGGTTCGGTTCGGTTCGGTTTGGTTCCAGATCGAGTTCGAGTAAATTATCGGTTATTTAGAATAAAATATCAAATAATTAGAACGATTTAAATATAAATATTGGATATTTCAAATAAAATTATCCGTAGTTCGGATACTCTATAATATATAGTTATCGTCAACTATTTTTGGATAGTTTTAATAATTATTTAAATTAAAATCATATATTTAGCTATGTTATTTGTATATAAAATTAATATTATTATATATTCGGGTATTTTTTCGGTTCTCGGTTCGGTTCCGATTCGGTTTGGTTATTTCGGATATATAAATATAAGAACCGTTCGAATATTTGAGAGTCCCGATTCTGTTCCGGTTTCGGATATTTCAGTTCGGTTCTTTGGTTTGTTTCTTTTGCCCATGCCTAGATGTAATAACTTGTTGAAAAAGCTGTTAGTTTTATTTGTATTTCACTTTTAATGTATTTACAAAACATATATACATATATCTATAAATTATAACGTCCAGTGGTACCTATAATTCTTGCCGCCCTATACTAGCTAAAAACTAAATGGAAGACTCAGAATGCATTAAATCCCCTATATATTATCTAAGAAGCATTACAACATATTTTGGTAGCCACGTGTCATCATGAGAATGCTTCTCAAATTTATTAGAAAAAATATTGGTCTATATAAACATATAATATACTTTTTATTAAACTAAACATAAAACTATTATTAATGTTATTCATTATTTCCTTAAATGAAGTTTACGGAATTACCTAATATGGTTACAATATATATGACAATAAATAATTGAATATGAAGATTTGATAAAAAAAATTTTAGCCTCTACTATCTTTGTTAAATTTATATAATGATAATAAATTAAAAATAATATTAAATATATAACAAAAGAATTAGATTTTTTTATATTTGCTATATTTTGAATTTTACAAAACGACTATAAATTAATAAATAATTAAAAATTTTAATATAATATTTTTGATTAATAGTTTAAGTCTCCTATATATTAATCATGGAGCATTACAACATTTTTTAGTAGCCACGTGTCACAGTGAGAATGATTTCCATAACTCTTAGAGAAATATGTTGGTCTAACTAAACATATGTTATAATATAACATTTTTAAATTAATATTCTACATATTAATATACACTAAAAATTTCTATAAATAATATAATTTTATAGTCGCAAATTGAGTTTTAAAATAAAAGTTTAATAGTTATCTTATCTATTATACTAAGCTAATAAATAAAAGCCGGTTTTAAGATCATCGTAGCCTAATGGTAATTTTTTCTTTGGTTTCTAAATTGGTCTGCGACATACATATTGAAAATCTGCTTGTACTCGGCTTATGATATTTGTTGTAATGCCATTCATTCACTGATTTCTTTTGAATTGAAAACATTTGAGAATTTAAATAAAAAAGTGATTTAAAGTCAGTAAAAACGTAGAGTAAGGTTCTGCGAACCCCGCTCTTGTTTCGTAGAAGCCCCACTACCACCTCCCTAAGATGCATTCCATTCATTCCCATTTAACTTGATATTTTTCACTAGTTTTTCCATCCGAAGTTAACTATAACAATTTCTACACCAATAATATGAAAAGAACTTAGAAAAGGTATAAGCTAGTATATAATTAACGATGGTAGGGTAGTGATGGTTATTTAATATTCATAGATGCTATTTTAATGAAGTTTGGAATAACTGATGTAGGCTTCTAATATGCAAAATACTGTAAGTTCAGCTTCTTACTAACTTTTGGAAAGTTAGATTCATGAGTGTTCGCAAGAAAAAAAAAACATTTGGAGAGTTTGCTTCACATTCATATTGTAAAAAAACAATAATTTATAACGAAGATATGGTGGGCCAAAAAAATCATTAAAAAGAAAATGAAAACAATAAAAGAACTTTCATGAAGCAAATGAAAAACAAGTAAATATATCTATGACGAGTGAAATAGTGAGCATTCATAATATATAAATATATATTACTATGATACTAGTATTATATTAGTATTATAGGCCACCAATCAGAATTCTTTGGTCGGTTTAATGAATAATTTAACAAGAATATTCCAAAACTTAGTAGTCGGATTATTGTATGTTGATATCCGATATCTGATTTTTTTTTTTTTTTTTGACAACGAAAGGCTGATCTATTACTCAAGCTTGAGGTGGTCTGGGAATCCAGACCGGAATAGAACAACCAACAAACAAAAGATCACGATAGAATGATCTGGCAGTCTTAGCTAGATGATCAGACACAGCATTTTGGGATCGAGGAACATAAGAGATTTTAAATCCTGGGAAACAAATCTTTAACGTCGAAATCCGCTCCAGTTCCGTCGAAAATCTTGGCCATCCCTGGGGATTCATGAGCATTGCTACCAGTTCTTTGCAGTCCGTCCCAAAGCTCTGACATGGCGAATGTTGAAGTATGTTCTCCATTGCCCACCGCAGCGCTTCCAGCTCCGAATGCAAAGCTGACTCTACTCTACTCATATTGCGCATTCCCATCAACTGGCTATTTCCTTTGCTGTCCTTCCAGTCCCAACCGCACCCAGAGAATTGATCCATAGAGGTCCAAGAACCGTCTATCATACATATATCTCGCAGGCTTATGGCCTGGCTGTCATTGATCCGATATCTGATTATTGTCTAAGCTATAACAACGACATATTATTGCTTCTTACGAGTTACGACCCTTAACACAAATCCACGTAAAAAAGCTTAGATTCCAACGAGAAAATGCATGGCGTTTGAACCAGAACTCCTAAAAATGAGCTTAAGTTTATGCATCCTTTACCACTAGGTTACAGTGAGACGGCTTTGTTAATGTTTCTATGCTTTTATATAACAATGAACATTCAAAAAAACAAGTAACAGGCTATCTGCGTGTAACTGGAATTTAATTAATATTCTAAATTATATAGTGTCTCTTAATACATAGGTAAACAGAGCTAATGACGATTATAGAATCTACGAAAAATGGATCATATACGTGCGTGTGCGTGGGGTTAATTTCTTATAAACAAATCATTATACTAGACTTGTTAAACTATTAGATATTTGTTTTTATGACAACAATGAACTAAATATGGAGAGTGAGAGAAAGGTCAAAACTCCAAAGGCACGGTTAAGAAAACAAAACCGTGTACACCATGTCCTCAACTTGACAAGTCTTTGTCTCCTCCATAACTCACTCTGTCTTATTCTAGTTAGGTCTCAACTTCCAAAAACGACGACGTTTCATTCCTATATAATCTTCTTCTCCCCTTATCTCTACCCATCACCACTCAATTTCATCTCTCTTATTCCCTTCCCTTGTTTAGTATAAAAACCAACAAACCCTTAATCATTTTTTTTCATCTTCATCTTAATCTACATGCATACACATATACACACATAGTCTCTTTTTACATATGACAATTGTATCCTCCACAACTAGCATCATCACCATGATGAGTAACCAAGTCAACAACAACAATGAAAATGGTTTAGAAGAAGATGCTCACAGAGGCGGCCACGAGAGTCGTGTTCAAAAAGATGATGAAGCTGATGATCATGATCATGACATAGTTATGCCTGGATTCCGCTTTCACCCCACCGAGGAAGAACTCATAGAGTTTTATCTTCGCCGTAAAGTTGAAGGCAAACGCTTCAATGTAGAGCTCATCACTTTCCTCGATCTTTATCGTTATGATCCTTGGGAACTTCCAGGTAAAATATACATTCCACATATATTTACATATATATATATATATATATGTACACACATCTACCGTCAGACTATTTGAATGTTTTTATATAAACACATGGTACACATATATACAACTTATAAAGATCTAGAAATACAATTAAACCTATATATATAACCTTCTTATATTATACCTATGTTGATCTCAGATATTCTCAGTATTTTTCAACAGTTCTTATTTATATTTGTACTTTTTGGAATAACGGATCTGTTTCATTATTTTAACCCAAAAAATTGGGGTGTTTTGTTTATAACATTGAAACTCAAAAAAAAATCAACCATTTATCTCCTTTCTTAAACCTATGAAAAACTTCATCTCAGTCATGTACAACTTCATAAGATATTTATGTGTATATATATATCATATGTGTATATTAATGTCTTATATTCATTCAAAAAAAAAAGAAGATGTCTTATATTTGTGGTTTTATCATAAGATTTAATTATATGAGTACGTATATGCAGCGATGGCGGCTATAGGAGAGAAAGAGTGGTACTTCTATGTGCCAAGAGATAGGAAGTATAGGAATGGAGATAGACCAAACCGAGTAACGACTTCCGGGTATTGGAAAGCCACTGGAGCTGATCGGATGATCAGATCGGAGACTTATCGGCAGATCGGATTAAAGAAAACCCTAGTTTTCTACTCCGGTAAAGCCCCTAAAGGTACTCGTAGCAGTTGGATTATGAATGAGTATCGTCTCCCTCACCACGAAACTGAGAAATACCAAAAGGTATAAATTTAACCAACTCTTGATATATATTTATAGATCGAACCCTAGCTAGGTTGATTGCCTTACAAATTTTGAAATAAAATCCCTAAGATTGTTTGAATTTTGTATCTTGGTTCGTTACATTTATTATTTATCGTGTTTAAATTGACTCGATAGGATCCAAAAAGCTTAGGATCTAATTAATAGTAAGGCGGCGTTTGCGCTTAAATTGAGAAAATGTTCATGCTACACGCATGAACTCTTTAAATTACTAGCCATGGCCCATATGTATAGTAGAATGCATTAATAAGATAGCTACATGCATATATACACAAAAGCACATATTACATTCAAAATTCGCATATATACCTAAATGTATATATACCTTAATTTTTGCAGAGGCTTAGTTAGTGTTCTTACAATTTATCACATTGTTCCTGCTCTTACATTCATGACTTTTATTTAAGTTGCCCGACAGTTTTTTGAAAATCTTATGCCACATATGATCAATATAGTATATCTATCTACGCAATTTAAAATCTTTATATAAACTTATAAATACTTATAAATAGTAATGTGTTTACTGGCGAATTGATAGATAGTTTTGTTGCGCATTCTAAGTTCTCACTATTTGTAACCATTAAAACAGTGTATTTATTTAGTTCTTATTAGATAGCTAAAACACCAAGCTTGACATAAGTTCACAAATCTAAATGAGTATGTTTTACACATCCAATGTACAGGACCAAAGAACTAGACATTTATAATCAATTAATCTTAAATCCCAAAATTTAAAATGTGATCTATCTGATATATGTGTATGTATGTGTACGTCAAATGAGAGCCAGCTACCAATGAAATCTTCATATATACATTTTAACTTATAACTGATATGTATCTCACGTCTCTGATCAATGTTTTAATGTGTGTATTATAGACTGAAACATCATTGTGCCGAGTGTACAAAAGGCCAGGAGTAGAAGATCATCCATCCATACCACGTTCTACATCCACAAGACATCATAACCATAACTCCTCATCCCGCTTGGCCGTAAGACAGCAACAACAACTTCCATCCTCTTCTAATCATTCCGACAACAATCCTAACAACAACAATCTCGAGAAGCACTCAACTACCGAATATTCCGGCGAAGGTAGCACCATAACCACCACAAACAGTAATTCTGAAGTCACCATAGCTTTAGCCAACCAGAATATCTATCGTCCAATGCCTTATGGAAACACACCAATGATCTCTAATCAAGAAGATGATGAAACCGCAATAGTTGATGATCTTCAAAGACTCGTTAACTACGGCCAAATATCTGATGGAGGTAGTAACATAAATCACCAATACTATCAAATTGCTCAAGAGTTTCATAATCAACAACAACAACTTAACGCAAACGCTAGTGCTTTGCAATTGGTGACGGCAGCGACTACAGCAGCGTTAACGCCTCAAACGCAGGCGGCGTTAGCGATGAACATGATCCCTGCTGGAACGATTCCAAACAATGCTTTGTGGGAGATGTGGAATCCACTAGTACCTGATGGAAACAAAGATCACTATACTAATATTCCTTTTAAATAATTTGATTAGATTTTTGAATATTTACCAATTACTTAAATAATGCTGGTTCGTTATAATCTATGTTATGTATACTCAGTATGTAGTAGACAAGTTAGATATAGCTAGACTATGATTGATTACTGCAATTTTAATTTTTATGTAACGGACCTGATTTCTATATATATATATCCAACTTATGAGTTATTTATATATGAACCACGACTTATTCTATCCAATGTAACACCGTATATGTAACCGAACCGATCAGGTAATGAAACATTATTTTAATCCAAACTAAGAAAAAAAATAAAGAAACTATATACTGTGTACTCGATTACATTTGCTATATACGAAACAAATCAAACAACACAAAGTAAACTAAATCACAAATTTCTTATATTTTGGTAATAAAAAGGATAGTTTGTTATTTCTATTAAGTGAAAAAGAACGTTACAAAGTCTCTCTTATACTCGAGAGAGAGAGAATACGGTCTAAAACATAATTCAACTTAACCAAACTAATAGACTCGGTTTAACATAAACCGGACTATACAATCATATCTAATACCCCTCCTCAAGATGGCATGTATATGGTAGACAATGCCATCTTGCGAACATGAGTAAGGAAAAGAGCAGGATATAATGGTTTGGTGAAAATGTCGGCAAGCTGGTTCTCTGTGTTGACATGAAGAGTCTTGATCAAACCTTGAATAATCTTCTCACGAACAATGTGACAATCATTCTCCAAGTGTTTGGTACGTTCGTGAAACACAGCATTATTGGCAATATGTATAGCCGCTGTAGAATCACAAAAGAACGCAACAGACTTTGTTTGAGGAGCAAGGAACTCAGCAAGAAGTTTCACTAACCAAGCCACCTCTCGGACAGCAAACTCCATCGCACGATACTCAGACTCAGCAGAGGAATGAGAAACGGTATCCTGTTTCTTAGACTTCCAAGAGATAAGGGATTGACCAAGAAACATACAAAAACCGGAAGTAGAACGGCGTGTATCAGCACAGGAAGACCAATCTGCATCCGTGAAACACTTCAATAGCAAATCAGAATGAACAGAGTAGAAGAGACCTTTGCCAAGTGTGCCTTTTAAGTAATGAAGGACCTTGTAAGCAGCCTGCAAATGAGACTGTTTGGGAGCAGAGGCAAACTGACATAACCGATTAACAGCAAAGGTGAGGTCAGGACGTGTAATAGTAAGATACATCATCTTCCCAACAAGCCTTCTGTATACAGTCGGATCAGAAAGAACAGGCTCAGGACTATCCTGAACAAGCTTAATACTCAGATCCATCGGTATAGAAGAAGGTTTACAAGCCATTAAACCAGTCTCATCAAGTAAGGCCAGAGCATATTTGTGTTGACAGATTGAAATGCCATCCTTTGATCGAGCAATTTCAAGACCCAAGAAGTACCTTAAGGGACCAAGATCACGCAACTTAAAGGATTTCTGTAGAGCAGCTTTAAGTTGTGTAACTCCATCATCACTATTACTTGCAATGACAATATCATCAACATACACAAGCACCGCAATATACTCGCCATTCTTATGACTGATGAATAAGGTATGATCCGAATGAGAAGGACGAAAACCAAGAGCCAAAAGAGTAGAACTGAACTTCAAGAACCACTGTCGTGAGGCTTGACGAAGACCATATAAGGATTTATTAAGTCTGCAAACTGGATTAGGAGGTAAAGTAGTACCTTCTTTAGGAATATAACCCGGTGGCAAAGACATATAAATTTCTTCAGAAAGGTCACCATTGAGAAAAGCATTGGAAATATCCAGTTGAGTCAAGCTCCATTGTTTCACTGCTGCAACAGACAACAATGTTTTGACTGTAGTCATCTTTGCCACAGGCGAAAAAGTATAAACAAAATCAATCCCCTCCTGTTGTGTATAACCCTTAGCGACCAGACGTGCTTTATACCTCTCCAACGTGTCATCTGCATTGAGTTTAACCTTGTAAACCCATCGACAACCAATAGCATGTTTCCCATCAGGTAAAGAAACAATCTCCCACGTATCATTACTCTCCAAGGCTATAAGTTCTTCATTCATTGCCTGAATTCATTCACCAAACTTCTTTGCTTGAGTAAAAGAAGATGGCTCAGGATGATGCATAACAGAGCAAATATAACTCTTGTAAGAAGTAGAAAGTTTCTCATAGGAGACATAAGCTGCCAAAGGATAAGGAATACTGGTAGATGTCACATTACAGTAGTAATCTTGCAGATAAGAAGGGAGTTTAGAAGACCTTTTCTCAGTATCAATAGAAGTAGGCTGAGCAGGATCAGAAACAGAGATGTCCGATGAAGCAGATAGGGACTCTTTGGGCACAGACTGTTCAGTAGCTGGTGCAGATGAATCCATATCAGCAGGCTTTGGAGAACCAAATATATCTGGTAAAGCTTCAGACTGATGAAAAGGGAAAATGTCTTCATGAAAGACAACATTCCGTGATATAGAAACAACATTGGTGTCCAAATCCATTACCTTGTACCCTTTGTAACCAGATGGATAACCAAGGAAAACACATGCTTTAGCACGCGCTTGAAATTTGTGTCGATGCTTCGAAGAAGTAGACACATAGCAAAGACAACCAAATGTACGTATGCCTGTATACTCTGGTTGTTTCAAAGTAAGCATCTGATAAGGAGATTTATCTTGCAGCAGTGGTGAAGGAAGACGATTAATCAAGAACACTGCAGTGAGTATACTATCTGACCAGTATTCAAGAGGAAGATGTGCCTGAAACATCAAGGAACGAGCCACATTTAAAATGTGTTGATGCTTCCTTTCAACCACCGAATTTTGCTCAGGAGTTTCTGGACATGAGTGATAAGCTTGGATTCCTTTAGCTTTATACAACTCAGCAAACCGTAACTCAGGTGCGTTGTCAGAACGAACTCCTTTGACTGTAGTTTTATACTGTGTCTCCACCATTTTTAAAAAGTCTGGAAACAGAGACAAAACTTCATCTTTAGTACGCATCAAATATATCCAAGTAACTCTCGTATGATCATCTACGATCGTCAAGAAGTACTTGTATCCCTCAGTAGAAGCCACTGAAAACGGTCCCCAAGTGTCAATATGCAACAAATCAAAAGCATTGGCACTCATATTATTTTGCGAGGGAAACGAAAGGTGCTTCTGCTTGGCAAGAGGGCAAATAGAACAGTGAAAATATGTTTTATTTCTTTGAGGAATCCCTAATACATTCGAGATAGAATCAATCTTTTGAATGGCAGGATGCCCCAGTCTATTATGCCATAAGGTAGAATCAAGAACAACATTAACACTTAAACTTGATGGTCTTGTGGATAACTCTCCAATGGATGCCTCATCCAGAATATAGAGGTTCATAATCTCTTCACCCTGACCAATCATCAACCCCCTGGAAAGATCCTGAATCATACAAGTTCCACTGTCAAAAGCAACTCGATAACCCAAATCTCTTGTCATTTGACTGACACTGATGAGATTTAATCTGAAGTCCGGGATATATAGAACATTATTCAAAATCAAACTCTCATTTATCTGAACTTTACCAGTGCCAACAATCTTCACACCTAACCCAGTAGGCAAACTTACTGATTGATTAAGTGTTTCAGAAAGACTGAGAAACTTAGTTTTATCATGGCAAACATGATGTGTTGCTCCACTATCAATAATCCATGATGTAGAGGTTAACACATTCCCAGTAGCTCTCAATACTCCCACAAAAAATAGAGTGTTAGTAGAAAGAGTCATACCCGGAAGTGTAGTGATAGAACCTCCAGAAGTAGAAGCAACAGCTGCATTAGGATCAGGTGACAATTGTAATTGAGCAGTGAAGTACTCGATAACACCTTGTATCTGATCTTTAGAAAGCGTATTCATCATGCCTGCAACAACTGACTCATTAGCATTATCAGAAAGAGTCATGTTAGCAACGACAGGTTTCACTGAATTGCTCTGTTTCTCTGCAGCAAGCAATCTTTTGGATTTAAAACCCGGTGGGAAACCATGGATTTTGTAGCATTTATCCATCGTATGTCCTGAATAGCCACAATGGGAACACAAAGGCCGATTAGAACGTGATGGTTGTGACGATTGAGCAGCATTGATCAAAGCAGAAGAAGACTCAGCTGCAACTTGAAAAGCAGAAGCATTAGTAACAGGATGAATGCTTCTCTGACTGTGATCTTGATCAAGAAGATTGTAAACTTCAGCAAGATCAGGGATATTCTTCTTCATGATGATTTGGCTACGAGCATTAGAATAAGACTCATTCAAGCCAGCTAAGAGCTTGATGATCTTGGCATGCTCATTCTTCGTATAAGTCGCTTTACAACAATCACAAGTTTGACAGGTCTTCACGCAATCCGCTCCATCAAGCTCATCCCAGAGTGTTTTCAGCTTCGTATAATACGTCGGTAAATCCATAGAACCTTGATGAAGAGACCAGATCTGCTGCGTGAGTTGATAAGACCTTGGCAAGTTTGTGATTCGAAAACGTGTAGAAAGATCTTTCCAAATCTCAGATGCATCATTAAACCTGAGAATACTGCCATAGATCTGCTTTGTAACAACATTAAGGATCCACGACTTAACCATACTATTGCACCTAGACCAGATTCGATAATGAGGATGATTCTCTGGAGGTCTAGGTAACGAACCATCAACAAATGATAATTTGTTCTTCGCATCTAAAGCAATCGTGAGAGCTAGAATCCAGGTATTATAATTCGTACCATCGAGTGTCTCTGAAATGATAGATGCTCCAGGATTATCATTGTTCGTAAGAAAATACGGTGAGTACTGGATCCCATCGAAAGTGAAGGATTCAGTTGGGATCTGAGTCGAAGTGTTCATCGGAATGAATGAAGCAGGATTCGACGTCGGAATAACTGGATCTGGAGAGATCGTCGCCGGAATAGATCGTCGATCAGCTCGCCTAGTCTGATTTGTCGCCTTCGTCGCAGAAGCGCCCACACGAACACCTCTACGCGAAGATTGACGAA